GAGAAAACATAGGATCACCAGACCAGCCTCTGCAGACTTAGGCATTTGAAAAGGAAGGTGCTTTCGGAGCTATAAGACAGTGCACACTGGGTCTAGACCCAACCCAAGAATCAGATGGCAGATTGGAGTCCTAGAGAAGTGGCTATGTGAGTGAATTGAAGGGATTCTAGTGATGGGAGGCCAGGCCAGGTCTCACAGGAGCCCTCTCCTGGCTGAACTTATCCAAAGGCTGGGGATCTTCTCTCTGGCTCCCTAGAAAAGAATCTGGTCTATCGTGACCAAGTGTGTCATCCTAGGTAAGTAACTTTTCTGTGCTGGGGTTTCCTCATTTTTAAAATGAGGGCACTGGACTTAAATGCTCTCCAGAAGGATGGCTGGGTAAAATGGAATTTCGGTACTGGTACCAAAACAGAGATATAGACCAATGGAACAGAACAGAGCCCTCAGAAACAATACCACACATCTACAGCCATCTGATCTTTGACAAACCTGACAAAAACAAGAAATGAGGAAAGGATTCCATATTTAATAAATGGTGCTGGGAAAATTGGCTAGCCATAAGTAGAAAGCTGTAACTGGATCCTTTCCTTACTCCTTATATGAAAATTAATTCAAGATGGATTAGAGACTTAAATGTTAGACCTAATACCATAAAAACCCTAGAAGAAAACCTAGGTAGTACCATTCAGGACATAGGCATGGGCAAAGACTTCATGTCTATAACACCAAAAGCAATGGCAACAAAAGCCAAAATTGACAAATGGGATCTAATTAAACTAAAGAGCTTCTGCACAGCAAAAGAAACTACCATCAGAGTGAACAGGCAACCTACAGAATGGGAGAAAAGTTTTGCAATCTACTCATCTGACAAAGGGCTAATATCCAGAACCTACAAAGAACTCAAACAAATTTACAAGAAACAAACAACCGCATCAAAAAGTGGGCAAAGGATATGAACAGACATTTCTCAAAAGAGGACATTCATACAGCCAACAGACACATGAAAAAATGCTCATCATCACTGGCCATCAGAGAAATGCAAATCAAAACCACAATGAGATACCATCTCACACCAGTTAGAATGGCAATCATTAAAAAGTCAGGAAACAACAAGTGCTGGAGAGGATGTGGAGAAATAGGAACACTTTTACACTGTTGGTGGGATTGTAAACTAGTTCAACCATTATGGAAAACAGTATGGCGATTCCTCAAGGATCTAGAACTAGATGTACCATATGACCCAGCCATCCCATTACTGGGTATATACCCAAAGGATTATAAATCATGCTGCTATAAAGACACATGCACACGTATGTTTATTGCGGCACTATTCACAATAGCAAAGACTTGGAATCAACCCAAATGTCCATCAGTGACAGACTGGATTAAGAAAATGTGGCACATATACACCATGAATACTATGCAGCCATAAAAAAGGATGAGTTTGTGTCCTTTGTAGGGACATGGATGAAGCTGGAAACCATCATTCTTAGCAAAATATCACAAGAACAGAAAACTAAACACCGCATGTTCTCACTCATAGGTGGGAACTGAACAATGAGATCACTTGGACTCGGGAAGGGGAACATCACACACCGGGGCCTATCATGGGGAGGGGGGAGGAGGGAGGGATTGCACTGGGAGTTATACCTGATGTAAATGATGAGTTGATGGGTGCTGATGAGTTGATGGGTGCAGCACAGCAACATGGCACAAGTATACATATGTAACAAACCTGGACGTTATGACATGTACCCTAGAACTTAAAGTATAATAATAATAATAAATTAAAAAAAAAAAGAAAAGAACAGTCATCCAAGGCAGGGTCTACACCAGCAGCTTCCTCTGGAGCCACCAGCTTCTTGTGGGGCATCAGAGACAGACACTCCTGGTGTCTGAGTTGAGACATCAGGAGTTGAAATGGAAGTGGCCAGAAGTGACCCTAGGAATATCAAGGGAGGGGGCTCCCAAACAAAAGCACTGTTTCTTGTTCCTTGGGCATGTGACGCTCACGTATTGCACTTTGGGACCTCTCCTGAGCAGTCCCTTATTTGCATTCCAAACTATAAACTGGGGCACTCTGGTTACAGACCTTTAAGATCCCTTAGACCTCTAATACGTTGTGAGTTTAGTGTATGATTCAAAACAGCACTTAAAGACTGACTTTAATTCAGAGTTAACACATAGCTCTATCCATAAGTTTGTAGTCAGTGGTACTCCTGTCTAAAAAAAGGAGAAGTGCAAACTAAGGATCCATCTGGGATTATTAAATAGCTTAAAATTTACACAGAAGTTGTATCACTGCTAACAATCCATGAATTCCTCTAAGTACACTCATTAAAGATTGTTAAAGGCCAGGCACGGTGGCTCACACCTGTAATCCCAGCACTTTGGGAGGCAGAGGCGGGCGGATCACGAGGTCAGGAGATCGAGACCATCCTGGCTAACACGGTGAAACCCCGTCTCTACTAAAAATACAAAAAAATTAGCCGGGTGTGGTGGCAGGCGCCTGTAGTCCCAGCTATTCAGGAGGCTGAGGCAGGAGAATGGCGTGAACCCGGGAGGCGGAGCTTGCAGTGAGCCCAGATCGTGCCACTGGGCGACAAAAAAAAAAAAAAAAATTGTTAAAGGGAAAGCTGGGAATACAAAAGATAATTACACAGTTAGATATCTAAGCGTCTTTCTGATAGAGGGCAGAAATGTGTGTGTGAAATACAAGTGTGTTACCCTGAAATTGAAACTGAAACACATGCTTGCTTTAGTGAAAGATGATCACTACATCAATTTATTGTTTAATATTGCCCTAACCAATAAATATCAGCATTGTAAATGGACATACTATCTGATCCAGCAATTTTACTTGTAGACATTTATCCTGCTGAAATGTTGCACATGTATACAAAAATAAATGTACAAGAATGCTCACTGTTGCAACATGGATAGCGGGAAAAAAATGGGAAGAATTAAAATGCTCATTAATAAGAGACTAGTTAAATAAATAATCAGTAATCCCTATGCTGAAATACCAGAAATAGTCAAATATATCTTTGTAGCAAATAAATAATTTTATATTAACTAATGTTTCTATCATTTACAGTTTGTTTGTTTACCCTACATCTGCTTCGAGCTTTAAAGCAAATAGATATTGAGGCTAAATCCTTCTTAGTTTCAGGGAGGTATGGTTGTGAAGAGCACTGATTACAGAAGGATAATTGCAACTGCTTTGCACCAAGGACAAGAGGCCAAGAGAAAGGCATTCCTCATCTTGAAAGTCTAGCTTTGAATGTCCAAAGCCAAAGTTTGGGCACAAAGCAATAGATTTTTGAAAGCCTGCATGTTGAAGGTAAAGCCATTATATTTGGTTAGTTCATAAACTTCCTTGGGAAAAAAAAAAAATCCCTAAATGAATAAGGAGCTGAGAGAGTAATAAGAGCAGTGGAAGGGGGTTCACTCTGATGTCATCTGCTACACTGGGTGAACTCGAACATCAGTGTTCCTAGCCTCTCAGGCCTCTGAGAACAGAAAACAAAGTCTAGGTCTTGAAAGTCTAACATGATTCCCAACCCCCACCTCCACTGAGCAAGTCTTCAAAGGGCTGCATTTTCAATATAAGGGTAAACTAGAAATAAACCTGACCCCTATTTCTTTTAGAGGAGGCTTTAAAGAAAATTGCCCAGTCTCAAAACTTGATGGTGGGAGGAAGGAGAAAAATGTCCCACATGAGCATTCATAATCATGAACCATCCCTTACAGGAATTTACAACAAAATTCCAAAACTTGCAAGGTGATAATTCACAGTAGTTCCAGAGCAGTAGTATCACCAAGGAATCTAATAAAGGCAGATAAACTTTCTTCCGGGAGGAACTCATCTTCATCCTAGGCCTCAAAAAATTTTTCACAGATCAAGAAAAATAAACAGCATAAATCAATAAATGTTAAAAACCATAAAACACACAAGGAAACAAAGCACCAGGAGAGAGGACCAGAAATAAAACCAGCAGCAAAATGAAATCCATGTAAAACTTCCAATATTAGAGTCATTATGTAAGTTTTATATTTCAAGAACAAAAGAAAGGCTTGAAAATATGAGGAAAGAAAAAGTAGGCTTGATACTGGTATAAGTCTCTGAGAAGGGCCACTTACCCTGTTCTCACCTGTGGTATAAACCCCAAAGGGGAAAGATAAAACACTTGAATAATTTGGAAAACCCAAAAGTAACGATCTTGTGTGGGGAGTGCACAAAGATTTATGTAATATATATTTATCTACCAGTCCTCCAACTCGCCTCCCCTTAGGCGAAAAGAGTTAGACCCAAGCTATAAATGGAAGCTATTCAAAAACGTCAACACCTGTACATTGGAATGTTTTATGTTACAGTTAGTCTTCCATAAATATGAAAATCAGTTGATGTATGCTGAAATTGCACCATGAGATTTCTTGACTTTTTCTTTCCCTTGTGAGTGCACAAAACCAAAACTAAACAGCAAAACATAACCACCAGGATCTGATAGTTAACAAGAAGATACTGTTTCAGAACATCAGCAATCACATTTCCACTCTATTCATGGAACATGACCAATCCAAATAGTAAGGTCAACTACTGCCTTTATGACTAACATTCCTATGTTAGCAGCCTTACCGTTGGGTTTATGTATATAAGAATCACAATTTTCACAGTTCTTTAAAATCTTGCTGTTCAAGCTATGTTCCTTGGATAGCAAGACAGGCATCACCCAATCATTTGTTACAAATGTAAAATCTGAGCAGCAACTCGGGAGGTTAAGGTAGGAGAGCAGCACTTGAGGCCAGGAGTTTGAGACCAGCCTGAGCAACATAGCAAGACCCTGACTCTGCGAAAAGAAATTTAAAAAATTAGTCAGATGCAGCGGCACACGCCTGTAATCCCAGCTGCATGAAAGGATGAAGCAGGACGATTGCTTGAGCCCAGAATTTCAAGGCTGCAGTGAGTTATGACTGTGCCAGTGCACTCCAGCCTGAATGACAGAGCAAGACTCTGTCTTTAAAAAGAAAAAAAGAAAGAAAAAAAAAGTAGACTCTCAAGAGCCACCCCAGAACTACTAAACTAGAATCTGCATTTTAAAAAGATTTTCAGATGATTTGTATGCCTGTTCAAATTTGAGAAGCACTGGTCTAACTATTCTCACTGTCCTACCTAACAGGTGGTAGACATGCTTTTAGAGAAATAAATGTGTGTGTATACATTTTTTTAACTTTTTGTTTTTAAATAACTCCAGACTTATGAAAAAGTTGCAAGATAATAACAAGTTTGGCCCCAAATATGTACATCTTCCATACCATGGTACAATTATTAAACAAGAACCGATTCAACAGTATTATTACAGACCTTATTTAAATTTTACCAAATGTCCTACTGATGTCCTTTTTTTGTGGTCCAGGGCTCAATCCAGGATGACACATTGCCTTTAGTTGTCATGCCTCCTTAGCCTCATCAATCTGCAACAGCCGAGAGCAGTGCTGTCCCATTGAACTTTCTGTGATGATGGAAAAATTTTATAATCGCACTGTTCGATACAGTAGCTACTAGCCATACATGTGGCTAGTGCAACAAAGAAACTGCATGTTTAAATTGTAATTCATTTTAATTAATGTAAATTTAAGTTAAATAGAGGCTCTTACTGTTTTAACATACAAAACACAAATATTTCAGCTGGGAAAACCCAGTTCCAAAATCTCTCTAAAGCAAAGCATAATGAACAGCCCTTTCATAAGCATGCAAGGGGAGCACTTAAAAAAGCGTAGTCATAATTCTGCTTGGCAAGGCATACAGACTCTTCATTTAGCCCAATCCAGTCTCTCTAACTGTGCCACCTGCCCTACCCCTCCACCACCAGTGCCCCCACTGCCCCACCACGATGAACCCCTCACCATGCTTTGAATGGTACCAGTCAATCACATGGCCAGGTCTTTACTCATGCATGAGTTCCTCTACCACATAGGCAGGGTGACCATGTAATGCATTATTCAGCTGGTGCTCATTTGATGATGAAAAGGAATGCTGTTAATAATTACATGGAAATAACCTAGACTGTTCTGGGAAAACAGGGACACCCTACCTCTGGATCTTTCCCCTCAGGTAAACTCATTTTCTCATGGCCCAAAGACACATGTCCACTTTTAACAGATAAGAATTTTGTTCCCACGGAACTTTAGGCAAATAGAGATAAGAAATAAGAGAGCAAAGAAGTTAATGAACAAGATCATTAAAAATGAATAAAGTTCTGAAGAAAACCTAAAAAAACTGGGTGAAGTAAGGCAGAGTGTAGGGGAAGAGTGGTCAGGAAGGCCCGCCTGAGGAGATGTCCTCTGACTGGAGATTCTTTTTTTTTTTTTTGAGACGGAGTCTCACTCTGTTGCCCAGGCTAGAGTACAGTGGTGCAATCTTGGCTCACCGCAAACTCTGCCTCTTGGGTTCAAGCAATTCTCGTGCCTCAGCCTCCCGAGTATCTGGGATTACAGGCATGTGCCACCACACCTGGCTAATTTTTATATTTTTAGTAGAGACAGGGTTTCGCCATGTTGGCCAGGCTGGTCTCAAACCCCTGACCTCAGGCGATCCGCCTGCCTCAGCCTCCCAAAGTGCTAGGATTACAGGCATGAGCCACCGTGCCTGGTGGAGATCTTAATGTCCAGACAGGGCTGGACATGCCAAGATGTGGGGGCAGAGTGGTCCTGACAGGAGACTCATAAGGTGAAGCCCATGAGGCCCTTGCTGGGTTGAAGGGACAAACCCATGGAAAGGAGCATCCACTGGCATTTTTAAGCAAGGGGATGGCGTGATTTGATTCATAGTTTAGGGAAAGAAATCAGAAAGAAGGAGACTATGAAGCCAAAGACAACTGAGGGAGGCATTGGGCGATGTGTCTAGAAGAAAACAAAATTAGTAAAAGCAGGAGAAGGGCATTGGGCACACAGGAAAGAACAATCCTTGTACCTGCTCCAGACTACAGGTATACTGAGAATTGACAGCACCAGGACTGGCTCACATGGAGGCAGAGGAATTTTCCTAAAGCCAAAGGGAGATAGGGGTGAATAGAAAGAAGACCTGAAAGTGGAGAAATGTAGCCTATTCAAGGAAAGGCTAACGTAGAATTTACTTTTAAACATATTCATTAGGATTAGAATTTATCTCAGGTTAAGAAAAGCTCTCTGGGAATTGAGCTGACTTGACACTGTAAGTAGAAGAGGTAATTTGAGTGGTTGGATATTTCCTCTGCAGAAATGCTCCAGAATGATAACTGCTTTGCAATTTCATATTGTTGGGGCTTTGTACTGTGTTCCATTCATCTGTGTATCTGTCTTTTGATCAATAACAATGTTTTGATTTGTAAAGACTTTATACATGCTTAGCTTTAGAATAAGTCTTAAAATCAGGCAGTGTGAGTCCTCCACCGTTCTTCTTTTTCAAAATTATGCTCCCTACTCTGCAATTCTGTCTTTTAAAATCTTATTTTAATCTTTGTGAGAATGTTTTCATATTTACTACATATAGTTGGTAAATTTATTTTTGAGTGGAAAATAGAAAATTTTTAAAAGAAGAGCTGTTGGTAAGAAACACTTGGGCTGCAAGTAACAGAATCCTTCATTTCAATGCCTTAAACAAAGAGGACTTTGTGTTTCCTTGCATAAGAGAAATCTGAAGTCAGGTGTCTGCTAGCATTGGTTCAGTGCTTCAGTCATGTCAGGGCCCACTTCTCTGTGAGTCTTGTGGCCTCTCTCTCATGGTCACAAAATGGCAGTGATGTGGATTGGAAATTTGTTCCCTTCAAGTCTCCTGTTGAAATATGACCTTCAATGTTGGAGTTGGGACATGGTGGGCGGTGTTTTGGTCATGGGGGCAGATTCCTCATGAATGGCTTGGTGCCCTCCTTATGGTAATGAGTGAGTTCTCACTCTGAATTCACATGAGATCTGGTTGTTTAAAAGAGTGTGGTGCCTTCACCCACCCCTTATTCCCTCTCTTGCCAGGTAACACTGCCTGCTCTTCCTTCACCTTCCACCATGATTGCAAACTTCCTGAAGCCTTGACCCAGAGCAGGTGCTGATGCTGGCACCACATTTCTTGCACATCCTGCAAAACCATAAGCCAAAATAAAACTTTTTTCTCCATAAAGTACCCAGTCTCGGGTATTCCTCTATAGCAATGCAAATGGATGAATACAGGCAGCTACAGCTGCTGCTATCTTATCAATTTAAGGTAGAAAAAAAGGAAAAATAGGAGAGGGGTAACTTATGTCTCCTTGTCCACAATTGTGTCAGATGACCTCCTTTGGCTACAGGAGAGGCTAGGAAAGTGAGTACTTTTGTTTTTCAGCCTACAAAGTAGACAGAGGTTAGAAAGAAAAGGGTTTGATATGAGAGGTGAGAGTGCCAACGTGCAGCATCTGCCACAAAAATTGATGAGAAGTTATCCCCCCAAAGAAGCTTTTCATTAAATTCTTCCTCCATCCTAAAAAAAACCTCTTTCTTCTACCAGTGGTAATGAATCCATCTTAAGCCACACTGCTTTCCTTCTCCACGTTGGATGGGAACCATCTCAGTGCCTCCTGACTCTGCCTCTCCCAGTCATGAGAGTTAATTTTCCCCCAGCATTCTGCAGCACGTACGCAGTCTGTGAGAGTCAGAGAGACCAGCTAGAAAAATAAATCTAGTCTATTGCTAAAGAACAAGAGTGACATTATGATCAGGATACAGTCTAGCTCTCTTTAATAAATTTTCAAGGAAAGACTGTTAGAATTCAATTCATGTCCATGAACTGCCCATTTCAGTCCCTGTATAGAAGAAACTAGGTATTTCTTCTTTTCTCTCATTCAGTAAATATTTACAGGACTCGTATGTGCCAGGCGCTAAGGGGTTTTATTCTTTTTTCCTTTGTTATTGCTCCTTATCCTATTTTCTTGGATTATTTTTCTTTCTAAGTGTATGTGGAATATGTGTGTGTGTAAAGTTACAAGAAAAAAAGTCAAGCCTGCAGAGTCAGAGCCCCATAACTGCAGCTCCCTCCAGTCTCCTTCCAGGGCCATGAAGAGCACAGATCACAACCCTTTGAGAAGGAAGGTCTGAGAAGGTACGAAGAATCAGGACCCAAGTGGTATCTGTCAGTAGTGCCACTTCTTACAACGTTCATGTACTTATTTATGCATTTATTTATTCATAAAATATTTGAGCCCATTTGCTAGACGTTGGGGACATTGTGGTGAACACACAGATATGGTCTCTATCCTCATTGAGTTTATATTTGCTGCCGGGCAATGTTTTTAGAATATCAACCAATGTTATTTTCTCCCAAGAGTTCACCTTTTTCTTCCCCTGCTTCCACTAGCTAGGCTGTGCTCATTGCCTCAAGGGAGAGATGTAATAAGCAGAAAGCAGAGAAAAAAGAGAAGACTTCTTCTGTGTTAGGGGAATAGAAGTGATATTAGGCTAGACAAAAATGCTATCATGAGCAGGGCTTCACCTCACACAAATACCCCTCTAAACTGAAAAAACAAAAACAAAAAAACAAAATTAGTGTGTGTTGAAAGGAAGAGATGGGGAATTACTCTAGAGATACCAGGGAAGACAGGAGGGAGCAATCCAGATCCGAAAGGGACAATGGATAAGCACAAGATGTGTCTCTGTCAAGAACCACAGTGAAGAGAGCTGTGGAATCAGGAATCTCATGGTAGCAAAGGGTGGACTCGCCAAAACTTAGGGATCACCACCTATCACCCACACCTGGGCCTATACCAATTGTTCTTTCCCTGGGCATCCAAAATCCATGCCTGCCTCTTCTTCCTGGGCATAGAGTTAGACTATATTTCCCAGCCTTCCTTGCTATTAGATGAAATCCTATTGTGAACCAGTGGGTTCTGGCCAATGGAACTTGGGTAGAAGTGTTTTGTCTATGCTCACTTCTTCCTGTTTTGTCTATGCTCCTTCCATGCTCCCTCTTTCTTGTTCTGCTGGGTAGAGATGACAGGCTCTAAATCCCTAGGGACAGCTTATATCCCTGAGTCCCTGCTTGGAAGAAAATGACACAAGGTAGCCACCCTGATCACACATACCTGCAATGGACTCTTACTTGAGCAGAAGTGAACTTTTATGGTGTTAAGCCACTAAAATGTTGTAGTGTGTTACAGAAACGTTAGCCTATGCTAACAAATATTCCCAGCAACCACCCAGCTCAAGTAACACTTTCCTGTCCCTAGACTTAGTTCATACCTCATCCAACTTATCTCATAAGGACAGGTACCCCATTTGTAAAATACCAGGACACAGTACATACCCACGCCACAAAAGGAGGATGGGACTCTCACAGTCTACCCTGGCATTATGACAAGGAAGGGAAAGGTTCTGCTTGTGAGGCTAAACAGAATCTGGTTAAGATTTTTACCCTGAAAGAGTGATTACACGCACAAGCGTTATACAATATAGAAGGAGAGAGAAACGGTAAACAAGTAAATGTAGAGTTCATATAGAATTACAAATCATG